TACATATTGATCACTGTCTCTCAATGTTTGTACTAGTATTTTAATGATCACTGTCTCTCAAATGTCACGGTTAGAGTTGGCTCTACCAAAATCAGCAATCTTCTTGGACCTATTTGCACAAAATCCTGCCGCAGTGGCCAAGTGGCTTCACCGGCGGCCTACTTTCGCTTGTATACGTCATCTCAGGCGACAATCCGCTCTTTTGGTTCCACTGCCGGTTCGGACTCGCCCTCACCAGCGGGCTCAAGCAAAACGCCATTCCCGACTTGTTCCTCCTCCAGATTCTAGCTCTACTACCTGCCGTCGGTGTCCTTTTCCACCGCGGGGAAACCTCCGGAGAGCTTCCCGGTGGCGATCGATCACACTCTCCTCCCGAACTCGTTTGGATCACAGGCGACATTCCTCGATCCATGCAAGATTTCTGATCACTACGGCCGAATTGGCTACAATATTCTACACGAGATGTCCTTGAAGGTTGCTGTTTCTTCGACCGGCTGTAAAAATCGCCGAGAACCAAGACGGGAAGATGACGAGGAGGAGGATTGCTCATTGCACGGCTCCCGCTGATGGTAAACCCTGGGATCCGAATTAATCCCTCGGATCTCGTGCCGAACAGACTCGAAAGGAGAGAGAACCTGAGGAGTAGTGTTGAATCGCTGGTGGTTGATCCACGTTGAACCGTCACCGTCAGATTTCCGCCGGCTAACGTAAGGAGAAACAGACCGAGGGAAAAACAGTGGCGGTGGCTCATGCTTCCGACGATCCTCGGCTATGGCAGCACGATGGAGTTTAGTTTGGGCGGCGACGAGGGAGGAGACGCTCCGAAGACAGGTGGCGCAGACGCCGACGCCGCTACTTAAATCGGTAAGATGTTTCCTGCACCTCATTTACTGGCTGAGGCAGTGCTTGAAATGAGTCCACGCTGTGTATTTACTCTCTCATTTATGGATGGCAACACATTTGTTAAACCCGACACACAGCACAAACTTTGTGCAGCTTAAAAACTGCCACCGAATCACTTTTTTAAACTTGGATTTATTTCAGCAATGCTGACCTGTTCTATGTACCCATTTTGTCTAATCCTATTTAATTAGGCAGAACGTAATTATTAGCTAATCCGTTATTTGACCATAAGATTTCCTGCCTATTTTTTTTGCCTTTCCCTTCTAAATCATATAGATTTGGTCAGATCTTAGATTTCGTCCTACTAAATCAGATAAATTTGCATAGTTCTTGTCCATACACCATGATTAATTCTAGGATTTATGGTTATAAGATATAAATTACTTGAACTCTAATAAGCGAAACTATTGATTCGGAGGTATCTCAAGGGACGAAGAATTGATTGCTTCGGAAGACATCCTCCGGGGGTATAACATATGTCATGTCCACAACCATTTGAAGACGAGCTGAAGTCTAGCTCATCGGGAACTACTGTGTTTTTAATCTTAATCTAGTGTATAAAGGTGAATATACTTTGGAACCATTATCGCACTTGAGCAATTGATTCTCTCTTTTCTTGTTGATTTTTATTGTTTTTGATAGATTAATGTTATGCTGCGGTTGATTTTCATCGTATTTTATTGATTTGAGACTATTAGAAATTAGGGTTCAAATAGAAAGGAAGATTTTAGTGAAGGATCAGGCAATGGATCGAAACTAGAGAAATCTGATAGTGTTCATGTTAAGTTTTGAAATGTACATTGATATATTTTTGTAGCATATTATGCTTACTGAATAATGAATGAAATTTGAGCCTAATGATTTAAAGAGCTGGGTCTGGGTGTGTGACCTACAATATTGGGAAATCTCGTGAATTCTCATCTCTTGTTTCGTGTGCTTCGGGGCACAATGAAAACTCAGTTTGATCCCTTTCCTAGTGGCCATGGATGGATCGAGGGGTGCTGGTGCGGTTGCATCTTTTAATATTTTCAAATTATCTTATATTTTAGATTTTTTTAATTATATACACTTCATAAAATATTTAATATAACTTCTTAAGTTCGTATTCCTAGTGGCCACGCATAAAGCAGCAAATAAAAGGAGCATTAAGATTAACACCGCCACCCCTACTAATAAACATCATTACAATATGGTTCGGTGCCCACTTCTAAATCAACACGAACTCAAAAGGCATTGTGATTTTGGTCCATGCAAGGAGTAACTAACTACAACCAGAACAGAATCAGTGCAGTGAGAGAATCAAACCTCATAGAAAAAGTTGTTGTTCTGAATGAATTAAAAGCTGCAAATTGTTACACATTTCATGGCTTAATTGACGGCTTCAAAATTTCCTTGGGATTCCAATTTGGTGGGGCTTTGTCTCCATGTTCATATCATCATCACCAAGCCCCCAGCGTCTACGCTTAGCTGATGCCATTGCCACTTCATATCTTCCCAAAGCCCTTTCCTTTTGTCACCAATATAGTTAAAAAAAGAAACTTTTTTGTCTTCGATCTTTGGTGCATTGGTAGCCATGGGTTGAAATGATAAATTTTTTGACTAATTGATTCATATCTCCCGTGTACCCTGTCAAAAATCAAAATTCCAATTTCACAATACCTTGAAAGAAAGGAACTTTTTTCCCCTTGATGGGTTACCTTTCTTGCAAAGCAGACTCAGCAGTGTCCATAATCTCCACCGCCAAAACAACCGCCCATAATCTTCCAAAGCTGTTTCCGACAAGCTGGAAAAACCCATCAAATTCCAAGAGTTTGATTATTCTGACCTTGAAGCAGCCACCAATGGGTTCTCCGACCAAAGGCTTCTAGGCAAAGGCAGCCACGGGTCTGTCTACAAGGCTGTTCTCAAAATCTTGTCGAAGATTCAAAGTCCCGGCTTAGTGAATCTTCTTGGCTTTAGTAGTGACGCTAAAGATCGTTTGTTGGTTGTTGAATTTATGAGTAATGGCACGTTTTATGATGTTCTTCACTCTAACTCTTCTTCAAGGCCTTTGAATTGGGATCGAAAAATTCGATTGGCCTTACAAGTTGCCAAAGCCTTGGAGACGCTTCATTTACAAAACCCCCCAATTATCCATAGAGATGTTAAGCCATCAAATGTGTTAATCGACAGGAATTTCAATGCAATATTTGGTGATTTTGGATTGGCACTTAGTTGTGGTGTTGGTGATTATAGGCTTAGATCAACCCCTCCAGCTGGAACCATGGTCTATCTTGATCCATGTTATCTGACCCCAGATAATACGAGTACAAAAGCGGTTGTTTTTAGTTTTGGGATCTTGTTGTTAGAGATTATTAGTGGTAGAAAAGCTATTGATGTTGCACATTCACCTCCTTCCATTGTGGATTGGGCAATTCCTCTCGTGAAGAAAGGGAAGATTGTTGCGGGGATCGCGCCTCCTGTGGATCCTATTGTTAGGAAGCAGTTGGCTTTCATAGCAGCTATCGGAAGGCTATGAAAGAGGTGGTCGGTTGGTTAACCGGGTTGAGCAAATTGGTTCCTTTACATCTGTGGAATGGTTGTAACAATCCATGTATGATGGTGGAGACAATGGGGCGTCCTGTTGAGTTTAGAAACGCCGAGGATGGAGAATTTGGTAGGCAAACCGTGAGGGACTCGCCGAGAGTCTATTCCGAATTGGGCTTCAGTAGCAACTTGATGGAACTATTGAGCATGAGCGTGAATGGTACAGAGGGAGAGTGTGAAACTAACATAGTTGAAAAGCCTGCAGTTGGATCAAGATCAGAGAGCAGAGTTTCGAGTCATAGGTTTCGTAGCAATTGATATGTCGAAGAGAAGAATGTTGATTTTGGTTTCAGGCAAAGGTGATCCATTTTCTCGTTTATCGGGCTGCAGATGACATTCGGTTTCTGCCATGAACATTGAAATGGTTGGCAATGGAGCAAGTTGAGGCTTCCAAGTCCCACTTCATGAGTATCTCAATTGTGGGTAACTTGTTTTTCATAGGTTCTTTGAATTGTTAACGTGGTGTTCATGTTCACATGTAGATCAGGACCTGGCTAATGTTCATTTCCTAGGCTGTTAGTCATGTAATTTGAACCTGCTTTCACAATAACTGATTAATGGATTTCATTTCAATCGCGCCAAAGAAAGATTTGGTTCTCCTGGAAATCTGATTTCATCTTCAAGCCTTCCTCCAATAATTGAATCAGATGAGAGGGGGCTGCTTTGATTTGCTTTCATTTTTTTGTAGAGTAGGGAGCAGAGATGGATCACTTTTCTCATGTTGATATTGTCTTAATCTCATTTCTGGAAATCCGTAGACATTATTGCTACTTTATCATAGCAATGGCGGGTTTTTTTGTAAATACATCTTCTCATGTCCAAACTTGGAAAACATTCAAGTCAATGAAGATGAATCGAAGATTAAAAGAACACCTTCCATTGCTGTCAATTAAATGCAATCGTTCATTCCAATTGAATGGTACAGTTCATGAAGAGTGACTGAAAATACCCATCAAACCAAATTGCTTCTAGGCATTGAAATAGCTGCTTGTACCACACCGTCATCGTCCCCGACGCTAACGTACGCTGCTTCCGCAGTACAAACGCAAGACCTTACTCCTTCCACCCTATCCTTCAACACGCCCACCTTTTCTCTTTGCCCACTTGTTCTGAACACTTCCAGACCCAGAAAGTCCCTCCTCGATTGGAGAAATCCATGTCACCAAAGAGATTCCAACCATGTTGTGGCTGCCATGGCTGATACCGCCACTGTTTCCCCGCCTAAACCCAAGAAAGGAATAGCTTTTTTGCCTCTTAAGATGGATAGAGTATGTGGGTTTTAGAGTTCACTCCTTTCCCCCCTTTATTGGGTCCATTCTTCACAAGCGTGTATCAGATATGGCTGTAATGTTATTGGGTTCATAACTGCAGATTAGATCCAAGAGATTCTTGGAAATTCAAAAGTTAAGGGAAACTGAGAAAGAGTACGACGTAAACACAGCCATATCTTTGTTAAAAGAAATGGCTACTTCAAATTTTGTGGTGACAGCTGAAGCCATGGCAGCCACAACATGGTTGGAATCTCTTTGGTGACATGGATTTCTCCAATCGAGGAGGGACTTTCTGGGTCTGGAAGTGTTCAGAACAAGTGGTTCAAGTATGATTATTTTTTCTATATTATAACCATGGATGATATTTTAATTGTTAATCCCTTTATTGATGTACTTTACTGGAAAATGTTGTTTTGAAATTGAAATGAGTGTTAAGTGTGGACTATGATTATTTTGAAAGTTTGAAAAGATTAGTGATTTCAGTACAACAATTATATAGTTGGTGTACTTAAATGTAATTATGTTTTTGTAAAAGCATTTGAATGAGAATATATTTTAATGTTGGAATTATGAGTATTAAGAATTTAAGTGGTAAAATGGTGAAGGACCATTTTGGGTAAATTGGAAAAGTTGGTTCCAATGTTATAGTAATTATTAAGTATTGAGTATTTTGATAGAAAATGAGTTCAAGTATATTTTGGAGTTATTTTGGAATGTGTTTATGTTAGTACAATACTAACATATGTAATTGTTATGAATTGTGATTTATACAGATTATGATTGATTTGCGATTGAAGCAAGTCAAATATAAAAAGGGTTTATTGTGGAACATAGTGAGGCTCATATTTTGAAAGATATAAAGTGTCAAGGTGAGTGCAATACATGCATGACATTATACATGGATGTTTTATGCATCATCAGGAAGACTTGCGATAAGTCGACCTTGTTTATGTTGACATGATATTTATGTCATTTATCATATATTTGATATATTCTAAATATGTCAAAGGTTGAAAATAAAATGCATTGATCACTGATTTTTGCATAAGATATTTATCATGAATGTTATTTCGGGTATGAACTGCCCAATGTTAAATATTGATAATATACTTTGCCATGGATGGATCAAATAAAATAGATTGTACGCCCAAGTAAGTCATTGAGGGACATGGTATAGTTAGCATGCCATAGAGTCCAGCAGCAGGCTGCATATTCGGGAATACACTAAAGGATACCTAGTGTATATGGTGGGCACGACCTTATGTGTCATATTCGAGACTGTACTTAAGGATACCTAGTACAGATGGTGGACACGACCTTATGTGTCATACCCGGGATAGCACTACGGTGCTTATAATTGACTCGTGTACCCAGGGTCCTCAGGGTTGTATATTGGGCTATATTCTATGGTATATGGTTATGGAATAATGGCAAGTGTATTGGTAAAATAAGCTTACGAGCTTATGGTACAAATGGTAAGTATTTTGGTAAAATAAGCTTACAAGCTTATGGTTAATAAATGGTAAAATATTGATTATGCAAATAAAATGATTTTATGGCATTTTGAATTTGTCATTGAAATTCATGCATGGTTCGTATTGCACTGTATATTGTTTTAAATTGCCTCATTAAGTTTATACTTAGCGTGTGATGATTTTCACTTGTAGGTAAGAAGTAAAGAATAAGAATAAAGAGTCCAGAACGACATCAAGCATCGAGAGGTATATTTCAACATCAGTAAGACATCTTATGATGGAATTTGATTTAGATAGCGGCATGTAATTTGATAATGTTAAATTTGTTTTGTTGAATTAATTTTGAAAACAATTGGTAACTTGATAGTGATGAAAGGTTAATTTTTATGAGTTTTATATGTAATTTTCGGAAGTTACTGTAGTAGTCACTGTAGCAGTGCATCGATGCACAATCACTGTAGCAGTGCATCGGTACACTGTTCACGGTACTGTTCACTATCCATAAAAAAAATCTTTTGAATTAAATTTGCTATAACAAAATATAAATTATATGATATGATATTTTTATAATATAAGTTACCATTTTAAGGAAATATATTTCAAATTAAAAGTTTAAATGGAAATGGTTTTTGAAATTCGGGTGACATCTATAATCTGTATAAGTATAATTATACGGATTATGGGTGTTACATTTATTGGCATCATAGCTACAGGTTTAGCCGATTCTAGGACTAAACCGAAGTTGTTTTGAATTAAAAAGTGTATACATGCCACTAGGATGTCAAAAGTTACTGATAGTTGTATATATAATGTGATGATGCTTATTGGGAGTAAAGTTATTCTTTACTATTGTATGATGATTCTGACTATGTTCAGATGTTGGAATTAAAGAAAAAGGTAAGAAAGTCGAAAATGTTGAAAAGAAGGTCGAGATGGAAATCGCCAAAAAGGGACCTACATGACTTATGTAAAACACCTTAGAATGGTAGATGTTGTAAGGGATTTTCTCCAGTTTGTGGAAGAAATGCCCAGTTTTGAACAAAGATTTTGAATTGGAAAAATTGATTAAAAAGTTTGAACGACTTACAAGAAAAGTCGAATCGGATAAGGATTTAGAGGAGATTACTAAATCTAGTGATGATTTTGAGGTCTCTCCAGGTAAGCTTAAATAAGTGAGAAATATTTAAGCTAAGCATTAAATTGTTTAAAGCATTGTTGATTTGAGTAAGAGCAATTGAGTAAGCGGTAAATATGATTTCCGCTAAAAGTTTAAAGAAAGTTGAATTATTAGTGAATCAAATGGTTATGAGTTGGTTTGAGAATAGATATCAAGTCCATAAAATTGGATAGAGTTACCTTGTGAAGGTAAATATGCGAAAATGGGTTGTCTAACCATTTCATGCTGCAATGAATTATTGTATAGATTGAGATGGATTCTCAAGAACTTGAAAAGTGTCAAGTTCATAATGATAAGAAAAAGAGTAAATTTGTTTACTAGTGTGATTTTAGCATTAAGTGCTATGAAGTTATTGCTACAAATTGTCAAATTTTCTTATTGAACGATGTGAACATTGACACTTTCATTGGAGATGGAAAATGTTTTAATTATTCAAGAATAATTTCTATGGATCTGGATAAGTTATACAGATTTCCTTAAGAATGAAATAAGAAATTCCAAAGTAGAAATATTCAATTCTACTTGATATCGAGTGATATTATAGCGGAAGACCCATAGGTCACGGTCATGATACAAGGGTTAGAAGGACAAATAGTAAATGCCCGATAAAGATTCAGGAGCTTATGTTATTGATGAATATGATGGGATTATCATTAACGAGTTTAAGATCATTTTGATCATGAGTTGGTTGTCTCTGCTTTAAGGTTGGGTTAATGGTCGCAAGAAGCGAATAATTTAGAAAAAAAATGAGGAGAAATAAAAAATTTTAATGATTGATGAAAAAGTGAAATCATCACTAACATGATATCATCAATGGTTGCGATTAAGAGGATGTAAAAAAATATGCATAGCATTTGTAGCTAAAGTGATAGATACTTAAGTATCTGAAGTAAGATCATATGATATTTCCATAACTCGGGAATTTCCATATGTCTTTTTAGATTTATTAATTAGGTTACTTCCAGATTGAGAGGTGGAATTCAATATTAATGGTTATCAAGGCATTGATCTTGTATTTATGGGTTCGTATCGACTGGTTGCGATTGAGTTAAGAGAATAAAAAATCAATTGCAAGAGCTGCTAAATCGAGGATTCTTTAGACTGAGTATTATACCTTGGGTAAAACCGGTATTGTTTATAAAAAAATGGATATGTGCGATTATGCATAAATTATAGATAGTTAAACAGAGTAACTATCAAGAACAAATATCATATTTTGAGGATTGATGACTTGTTTGATCAGCTTAGAAGGAGCAACAATGTTTTCTAAAATTGATATTCGAATGGGATATCACCAGTTAAATTTTTAAGAGGAAGATGTTCCAAAGATAGTTTTGAGGAAACGGTATAGACACTACGAGTTTGTAGTAATGCTGTTTGGTTTGAAAAATGGTCTGATAACATTCATGGATTTGATGAATCGAGTATTTCAATTTTTATTGGATTAATTTGAGGTGGTATGTATTGATGACATTCGGGTATACTCGAATACAAAGATAGAGCATAATGTTCATATTCGTATTGTGCTCGAGATACTTAAGGGTAAAAAAAAGTTATATGCCAAAATGCCAAAGTGTGAGTTTTGGCTATCAGAAGTTGCTTTTCTTGGTTATGTTGTCTCCTCAGAAGGTATAAAAAAAATTCAACCAATATTGGAGTGAAAACCTCCAAAGAATGTTCAGAGGTCCGAAGTTTTGGGACTTGCTGGTTATTATCAAAGATTTGTGAAAAACTTTTCGATGGTTGCTTCTCCTTTGACCAAGCTCTTGAGAAAGGATGTTTCATCTACTTGGACTGAGAAATGTCAAGAGAGTTTTAAAACTCTAAAGAAGATTTTAAACGGAAGCACCAGTGCTGGTACAACCAGAATCGGACAAATAGTATGTGGAGTATAGTGATACATCTCATAATGGTTTGGGTTGTGTACTTATGCAAAAAGGTAAGGTGGTAGCCTATGTTTTTCGACAGTTAAAGATGCATGAGAAGAATTATCCTACTCATGATTTTGAGTTAGCAGCGGTAGTTTTTGCTAAGATTTGGCGTCATTATTTGTATGGTGAAAGATGCACATAGTTGGAAAACTTTTGCAGCGTTGCGAGCCATAGATGTGCGACTATTGTTGAAAGAAAATGGCGCACTATTGGATGAATTGAAAGTAAAACCGATGTTTTTATATCGGATAATAGAGCTACAAAAGAAAGATAGCAGATACTTGGAAAAGATTTCACTAGTGGAAAAAATGAGACTAAAGACGTTGAAATCAAATTAGATGGATGTCTGATTATCGAGGAAGAACCCGTATTCCACATAATGATGAATTGAAGAAAGATATTCTTTCTCAGGTATATTATTGTTCACTGACTATGTATACAGGTGGGAACAAAATGTATCGGGATGTAAAGAGTCATTTTGATGGCTGGGTATGAAAAGAAACACTATTAAGTTTGTTGCTACATGTTTGACATGTCAACAAGTAAAAGCTGAGCATAAAGTGCTTTCGTAATTGTTACAACTGATTTCTATTCTAGAGTGAAAATAGTAAAGAGTCGCTATGGATATTGTTATTGGACTTTGACATCAAATAAAAAGGATTCTATTTGGTAATATTGACTGGTTAAATAAATTGGCACATTTCATTTCGATGCAAATGGACTATGCATTGGATAAATATATA